AGTGAAAATTATAACAAAGTCACATGCATTCTTAATAAAAATATTAAATATATTTTTAAAACACTATCTCATTCTGTCTGAGTCCAACCTATGGTGGCAGTTTTGGGCCCGAATCTGGCCTGAAACGGGTCTATTCGGGGCAGAGAATCAAAGCTTTAGGTTGTACCACAATAAAAGTACAACAGTGATCAAATACTGCATTCCCATTCCCAACTTCAGATTCACTGTCAGATAAAAGCTTTGATTGTTGGAGATTTTAAAGCTTTCAGATCGATTAAAGACGATTAAGGAGTTGTATCAGTCCCAGTTCAAACTGGTAATGTGAATAAAGTAAATAAAGTCAACTCAATATCAGCACTGTTCTTATCAATATCTACACGGATGATTTCAGCGTCAGTATTTGTTCAGCGTTTATTCTGTTTTTATATATAGCAGAAAAAACAGACACAGAAAACGTTCAGTCACTCAATCTTTCAGTCCCTCCAGGATTTTAACAATCACTGCTTCTCCCACGCTGTTGGACAGACAAAGGACGTCCCGGAGGGGCTGCGAGCCGAGCTGCTGCTAACGTTAGCTCAGCTTGTTTCTCTGATAACTTAAGATCCAGACGTCCGATGACTAAAATCCTTCATCCGGTTCAAATCTAGAGTTAAAAAGCACCAAGATCTAAACAGTGGATGGTAACAATGTGGCTTCAGACTGGATAACAGCTAACAGACTGATGTTAATGCTAACAGCTCCCAGCTTATGGTTTCATGGTAACACACTGAGGCTAAAGCTATAGCACTAGAGTTTATACACAGTTGAATGAGAGATGTTAGAGATTATAGATTTGATGCAATTAATCGAATATGACAATCCTTAAAATGCCCGTCCCTCATTGATTCCACTCCATACGATAAATATTCAACTTCAGCCCACAGCTGGTTAGCTTAGCTTAGCATAAAAAACTTGAAACAGGTAGCTAGTTTTTGTACAAATGAAACAAACAAGACACTAAGTGTTTCTCAGTAAGCTTTAGAGCTGTATCTAGTCTTCATGCTAAGCTAAGCTAACCAGTCGGCTCAACTCTCTGCAAGAAAGTGAAACATTTCGAGATACTGAACAACTCTTTCAGGGAAGTAAAAGTGATTTTTTATCATTTTTCAGTGTAAAGTAAGAATCTGCACAGTAACCAGTTGCTCCTCTCGTCAGATAAAAGTAGTGAAGGAAAAGAAGCAAGTCTCTCAAACAGAAACACTGAAGTCAGAAGGACCAAACTGGACTGAAGTGGACTGAAGTGGACTCAGGTAGTGTGCAGTCTGGACCCTGCAGCAGGTCGTCCAGCTGCGACTGCGGCAGGAGCTGCAGGTCGCAGCCTGGATGTGAAGCGGTGGGTGGAAAACCAGAGCAGGTCAACTCAAGGTCAACACTAATCTGCGTACAGCGGTGCGGCGCTCACTGACGTCCCCCGAGAAACAGCTGGAGGGCGCCTGCGCTTCTCCTGCTGGAAACTGGAGCAGCCGACGCTTTTTATGGAAAACTTAGTGAAGAAATTAAAAAAGGGACTCTAATGAGTGACAACAGCAGAAATGATGTTTTCAACACAAACAACCTCCAGATTGCTGTAATCAGTCTCACTGAGCTTCTCTACATGAGCGTGGAGCTCTGCAGGAGTCAAACAGGAGAAAGATGATGTGAGAAACAGAAACACACACATGTTCTCCCCCCTGAGCGAGGGGGTACCGAGGGGGGAGTCTGGTGGGACGTCCCGCGGGGAGTTGGGAGAGTCGAGGGCTGACAAATGTTGGTGATTTGTGACAGAAAGCAGAGGCGAACGTGGAGCGCTTGTGAACGCGGCTTCAGTCCGTCCGGCTCAGAGAGGAGCTGAAGTGGTTCTTTAGAGTGTTTACATGACGCAGGAAGTCTGAGATTTACTGTAAAATACTGTATGAAGTCAAATACTGTAAAAAAGTTGTTTTGTGAGAACTTTGCCAACATGGAGGGAGTGAGAGAAAGAGGAAGAGGAGGAGGAGGAAAACAAGTGATGATGCTAACAGAAGGAGGGATCCTACTGTAATGTAAGGTATACAAAGCACATCAGTGAGTCATTCAGATGCTGCATGTGTTTATAATCTTGTTGCCATTTGGAAACAGGATTGTTAGGTTTCATTTTGAGGCCGTGTGGAGACACAATGAGCAACAAGTGTGTAAGCAATCAGCAAAAATCTGAAAGTACTCGGTGCAGAAAAACAGCCGTCGGGAGAGTTTTATTATTACTTCTTCAGCTCTTTACAGGTTTAAGTAGCTCAAGAGGCTTCAGATAGTCAGACAGATGAGAGACAGACAGACAGACAGGTGAGAGACAAACAGGTGAGAGACAGACAGGTGATCAAGGAGGCTGCAGACTGACCCTCAGTCCCCAGTCAGCGACACACACTTCATTACCGCCAACAGGCAGGAATCAAACACTCGGCCGACATTGAATGGCTATCACTCACCGCTGTGTGTGTGTGTGTGTGTGTGTGTGTGTGAGTGTGTGTGTGTGTGTGTGTGTGTGTGTGTGTGAGAGAGTGTGTGTGACTGACAGGTGGAGAGAGCTAACACTGTGAGTGCATTAATTAATGACTGACGGCTAAACAGCCACAGCAGTAATAACAGTTAAGCCTGCCGGCGCTCGGGGGCCACACTGACTCCGATCGATGGATCAATGCTTGTACTCACACACACACACGCACACACACACACACACACACACACACACACACACACACACGGGTGAGTCTATCATTCTCACTTCCTGTACGCACACACACCTGCTCTCCGAACTAGGTGGCCCGGCGCCCCCGGCTCGGCTCGATTTTAACGGACACGGAGCCTCCAGAGGAACGAGGAGGAGGAGGAGAGCTCCAGCACTCACTTTGTCTTTGTCTCTTTCACTCAACTTCCTTTTCTTTTTTTCCCAGCATCCTCTAGCAGCGGCCGGGACGAGCTAATTAAAGGGTGACCGCGCAGGATCTGGGGGTCTTTGATTGGAGCGTCAGGTTTGGTTTTGACAGGTCGGATTAGCGAGGTGTGATTAGGGAGACGGTCCACGTACAAAACGCTAAGCCCCGCTGTAGAGCCCGGGGAGGGAATGCCGTGCATGCTGGAAGAGAAAACAGAGGATGATGCCCCCCCACCCCCCACAACACGCCTGCTTCCTCACCCACTGTAACCCCTGTAACCCCTGTTTGTGTCCACATAGAGAGCAGTGGTTCACTGAACTACTGCATCCTATCATCTTCTGCTGTTCTCAGGTTTGCCTCCAGATTTAAACACATAAACTATATTTATTTTACATTTTTAATAATATTTTCTACATTATATTAATGATAATTTGTCATAAATGTCTCAACAAGAAGCAGCCTGATACAGGCAGCTTTGAGGATTGTTAAATTGTGTCTTTGGGATAGGGTTGTCCTGAATACCATATTCTTTGGGATTTGGGGGCTTTTTGGGGCTTTTTTTAATTCACCATCCACGATCAATTAGCTAATCCTTCCCTCTCCTGTCTACTGACAGTGTCACACGCTCTGCAGCGAGAGAGAGGCCCAAACTCACCTGGGGCTGTTGACTGAACACATATGTTTTTGGGTGACTTTATAAAACAAGCTGCTGATAAAGAAAGTAGAAAAAAGGCAGACAGATATAGCCGGTGTCTGTCCCTGAGACACAGAAAGAGGTCTAGTATGTGTGCGAATATCCGAATCCCATTAATGAAAAACTAATATTTGCCCAGCAAACAAACGTACGAATAGCCAAATATTCTGGTCCAGCCTTAGTTTAGGATTTTTGGGGGGCAATTTTATGAAACATGCTGCTGATGAAGAAAGTAAAAAAAGCAGACAGATACTGTTTGTGTCTGTCCCTGAGATACAGAAAGAGGTGGAGGTGGGGCAGGCTGGTGTGCAGTAAGAGGCGGGGGTGTGTGTACGATTATCTAAATATCTACCCAACAAATAATAGCCAAATATTCTGGTCCAACCTGAGTTTTGGATGATATCTGTTTGAATCCTCACACACTTTAATGAACATTGTCTGAAAGCACAAAAGCTCATGTCTGTTTGTGTAAAGCATTAAAAAACTCCAGTGTTTGTGCCTTCATGAAATTGGTCGAATATCACTTTGACGTCTTCCGTTTGCTTTAAACTTTGGTAAGTAACAAAGTCAGTTTAGCAAAAAAACAACAAACTTATACACGTATTTGTGTTTTATTTTTATTACATAATGTGCTTTTATTTGTCAAATCTTGATTCCTTCCTGTTTCCTGCATTCACCTTTATCTGATGATGACTCACAATTCACTAAATAACTAGAAGCAATCTGATAAAACGTGATTCTATTAAAGGTTTCGTATCAATGAAGTCGTCTTTTTGTCTTATTTTCCATCAGTATTGCTGTGTGGTCAGTCTGGTTTAAAATTCACCACCAGGATTGCTAAATACTATAAAAACCGCTCATGTATGTAAAGCAAATATGTCCCATCCTGCTTCCCATACATCCAGCTGTAAAAGAGCCTTTAGTGTCCAGCTGCTGGACGTCTGCACAGTTTATCACCAGGAGAGGACGGAGGTGACATCAGTGCCGAGGTTAACACATACGAGTTTAAACAATAGAAAGAGGGAAGGAAGGAAAGAAAGAAAGAAAGGATGGAGGAGGGAGGAGGGTAACGGGGGTTTATGGGGGAGAGGGGAGTTTTGGCAGAGCAGAGTCTTCGCTCGGCTGGCGGCGGCGTGAAGCGGACTCAGGGGCGTCCTTACTGAGCTGCCGTTAGGCGTTAAATGAACACCTGGCCACCGAGTCTCAGGCCGGGACGCTGGGTAGTGATGAAGAGGAGGAGGAGGAGGAGGTTTTAGTCTGCAGATGGGGAGGGATCAGCTACACAGGAGGCTCCTGATGGTCAATGTAGGAGTCTTAAACTAATGTAGGCTGACTGGTGTGTCTGTGTGTTTGTGTGTGTGTGAGTGTGTGTCTGTGTGTTTGTGTGTGTGTGAGTGTGTGTGTGAGTGTGTGTGTGTGTGTGTGTGTGTGTGTGTGCGCAGATGTGATGCAGCCATTCTGATGTTTAATTATCTTCATCAATCACCATTTTCTGTCCTTTATTTCAGATATTATCTTCATTTATTTCTTTTTAAAATCTGTAACATTTCCTCATTAAACAGTGTTTAAACTCTGGAGCTCTGTTCTATAATCTATCTATAACCAATGGCATCATATCCCCTTTGTGCATGCGTCATCCATTAAACCTGACTACAAACACTGACCAGAACCCCTGACTACAACCATCAACCACTGACTACAACCATCAACCACAACCACTGACTACAACCACTGACTACAACCATCAACCCCTGACTACAACCATCAACCACTGACTACAACCATCAACCACAACCACTGACTACAACCATCAACCCTGACTACAACCATCAACCACTGACTACAACCATCAACCACAACCACTGACTACAACCCCTGACTACAACCATCAACCACTGACTACAACCATCAACCCCTGACTACAACCATCAACCACTGACTACAACCATCAACCACAACCACTGACTACAACCACTGACTACAACCATCAACCCCTGACTACAACCATCAACCACTGACTACAACCACTGACTACAACCATCAACCCCTGACTACAACCATCAACCACTGACTACAACCCCTGACTACAACCATCAACCACTGACTACAACCATCAACCCCTGACTACAACCATCAACCACTGACTACAACCATCAACCACAACCACTGACTACAACCACTGACTACAACCATCAACCCCTGACTACAACCATCAACCACTGACTACAACCACTGACTACAACCATCAACCACTGACTACAACCATCAACCCCTGACTACAACCATCAACCACTGACTACAACCATCAACCACAACCACTGACTACAACCACTGACTACAACCATCAACCCCTGACTACAACCATCAACCACTGACTACAACCATCAACCACAACCACTGACTACAACCCCTGACTACAACCATCAACCACTGACTACAACCATCAACCACAACCACTGACTACAACCACTGACTACAACCATCAACCACTGACTACAACCATCAACCACAACCACTGACTACAACCATCAACCACTGACTACAACCATCAACCACTGACTACAACCATCAGCCACAACCACTGACTACAACCCCTGACTACAACCATCAACCACTGACTACAACCATCAACCACTGACTACAACCATCAACCACAACCACTGACTACAACCATCAACCACTGACTACAACCACTGACTACAACCATCAACCACTGACTACAACCATCAACCACTGACTACAACCATCAGCCACTGACTACAACCACTGACTACAACCATCAACCACTGACTACAACCATCAACCACTGACTACAACCATCAGCCACTGTCAGTTTCGGGGTCACTGGTGTAGAAACCTTTGAGAACCAAATGGCAGAGCGTCACCAGCTCAGTTTATTGGAGTTCAGACGTCCAGATGACATTTATAAGAGACTTTTATTTCTACAGTTATTCGTAAAAACTGTCAGAATAAGTTTAACACTTAAAGAACAGCCTGTTTGTTCCATTAACTCCTGTGTCTGATCTGCTTTCTCATAAATAAACTTAACATCAAAAGTTGAGACAGTGTGAAACTTCCTCTCAGTGTCTCTTTCTCTGAGGTGAGACAATATTTGTTTCACATGGTGTGATCTATTTTCTGCTCGGCTGCAGGTTTTTTGCTCCCGCAGCAGGTGAGGGGCTGAGGGGGCTATACGGGGGGGGGTACGTCTGGATTAGCATTAGCTAAAACTCTCCACCAGCCTCCCCGAGTGTCATCCAGCCTGCTTAAGTTAAGGTGCAGCGACTGGCGGTGATTTGCATAAGTAATTAGCTAATGTGCTGTTCAATTTCTCTCCCATCTGGCTTGCTGAGCTACACCTCATTTCTCAAATTGACAGGCCGGTCACTATCGCTACCCACACTGCAACAAGGCGCCCACCAAATTAATTTGTCAACCTTCTCCTGTAATGGGACGTTCACCTTGAAAACTCAATCTACCTGAGGAGGTGAGAGTCCGAGAGCGAGGGAGCGAATGAACGGGCTGCAGCGAGGAAGGAGGCGCCGAAGATTTCTCAAAAAATACATTCTTTGAAGAATAAGGAGCAGAAAGCAGGTGGTGCTGGGTGACAGCAGGTGAGATTGGACAGAGGGAATATTGAACCGCAGCGTTTGAGGCGTTAAAGAAACAAAACGAAGATCTGTGTGAGCGGAGGAGAGGAAGGTCGGCTGAAACAAACCTGCATCAGGTTTCATCTCAGAGAAACAACCTGTTCTCTGGTTCTAACCAGACTTCAGTTTCCTGTTTGTGGTTGAAAGATGATGTAAAGAAAAAAAAGTCGAAGGAAAGACCGAACAAACACAATCACAGAGCCAATCAGAGAGCCGATCAATGGATCTATAAACACACAGGGACGTACCCAGGAGCCCAGACTCCCTCAGCAGAACCACATCACACCA